TCATTGTGTGCCGCGGCACGCTCGCACCGCTTGGTTCTAGCTCTACAGAGACCTGTGCAAGCACATGTGGATTACACAAACGTATACGAACCTGTTTTAAAGGACCTTAACTCCACATCATATAAAAAAACCCAAAACCCAAACTTGCTTCTCAGCAAAACTTAAATTGAACTTTGTTTTGATGCTGCAGTGATTTCTTAAAAGCGGTTCATTTACTTACAGAGTAGATTATCTGGTAATAATCTTGATTCCCACTGCTCAGGGGGAAATCCACGGACTGCTTTCTCCCAGGCGGTCTCTCGCCTCGCCTGCAGCAGGGCTTCTCCCCTGTGCGAGACGGACCGCCGCTCTTACCCTCAGCAAGGGGAGGCAGCCGCAGGGCCCGCAGGAGCGGCCTCTCCGCAGCTCCCTGGGACGGCTCCTTTCCCTTCTCCACGGGAGATAAGAAGGCAACAGGCATCCATCACAAAGTGCCACTTTAAGACTCGCACATTTCTGATAGAGTATTTAGGAATACTTTGCAAACCTGCAAGCTAACCGCCGTTCAGAAGAGAAACTCAGGCTATTTACAGTCTCATCCTTTGGCAAAAGCTTGAGTGAAAGACGAAGTTTTATCAGAGAGGGCAAAATTCAGCTGACGTGGTAAGGAACAGGAGGAAGCTTTAGGCTAGCTGGGACAAGCCTCTACAGTCATGGCAATTCTTTCTGAAATAGAGATTTGCTACCTTTGGCAGAAAGCATGGCATTCAACAGAGAAAACTCTAGCAACTGGTCTCTAAAAGGAGCTGGAAGCCACGTTATCCTCCCCTATTGCTTGTAGCTTAGATCTCACTTGGACTTCTCTAACAGGGGGACAACCGTGGCGTCTTCTTTCTCCAGATAAAATGGTCATAAAAGGAGTCACTAGGAGTCACTAGGCAAAGTCTCAAACTTGCTCACTAAAGCAAGTCTGAATGAGATTATCAGAGAGACCAAGACAACGAGGAAACCTGAAAACCTGGACTACTTGGCTTCTTTTAAGCAGTACTGAGAAACTGTAGATCCAGGTAAGGAACTGATACTTTAGGTCATAACTACTTTCTCTAACAAAGACATTTATTCATCGTGAGCGAGGGATTACATTGCACTTGAACTCAAGGTTCCTTGTCTTTCGCCCTGACCACGTGCAGTGTGGTCAGCTACTCGGGAAGGAACACAGTGGGAAGAGGGAAAGGCAGCGTGACCAGCAGCAAAAACCGAACGATCGAATTGGAACGAAAAGCCCATCGATGCTTTAAGAGTCTGACAAGACGCAAACACGCAGCACTCTTAGTCGAAACTTAGCGGGCAAGACTAATTTTGCTCCTGCTTTTGTAGGAGGCTGTACGAGCAGCTATCATGGCAGCACCACACCTCTTGGTTTTACAGTACTGAATCTACCCTCCTCTCCAGCTTTCAAATACATTTAATCTCATGAGTAAACAAGATAGTAACTAAGACAGCTAGTCTTCCTCTTTCAGGAGAAAGCTCACTCACGTGCATGCTTATCTGCTGGTTTTATGTGTACACATACATACAACACAGACATATCTCCAGTCTCCCATATATGCATACTTGTACGTATATCAGTACCTGTATGTCTCTTTTCTACACTTCGGCGTGACAATGAATTCTTTGAAGAAATAGAAAAAAAACGCAGTATTGTTTGACACAAACTTCCATGTAAAACAAACAGCTCCCTTCTTGCTTTTGAAAGGTGAAAACCAAGATCACTGAACGCAAGCTCTGCAAGTATCACACAAGCGACCGCCGCCTTAGCGTCCCAGCCCCACCGACCTCTTCCGTGGCTCTCCCGGAGAGCTGCCAGCGGTCGCGGATCGCCCCCCACACCACTAACCTACCGCGGGATGCACCATCAGGTCAGACAGCCCGCGCAGGCTACGGAGGCCTCAGGCCTGGACTACCTTTAGTGGCTCACTTTGGAGCCAGGCACCTCAGGTTTTACCCCAGTGCTTGCCCGTGGCGTCTTCTCCACCTGCATGGGGAGAGCTGGGGAAGAGCG